CTACTGAGCTGACGTGCCACAACTACTGAAGTCTGCATGCCTAGAGCCTGTGCTCCGCAACAAGAGAAGCCACCACAATGAGAAGCCTGCGCACTGCAACGAAGAGTAGCCCCCACTCACCGCAACTAGAGAAAGCCCGTGCGCAGCAATGAAGACACAATGCAGCCAAAAATTAAAATTAAATAAATGAATTTTAAGAAAAGCAATTAGGATTAAAAGTGTCCATTAAAAAAAAATAAGAAACAAGGTAAAGATGCCCCCTCTCACCACTTGTATTCAACTTAGTACCGAGTGTCCTAGCCAGAGCAATTAGAAAAGAAAAAGAAATAAAAGGCACCCAATTCCGAAAGGAAGAAGTAAAATGATCTCTGTTCACAGATTCCATGATCGTATATGTAGAAAACCCTAAAGACTTCATGCACACACACAAAAGAACCCTGTTACAATTAATAAGTAATTTCAGCAAAGTAGCAGGATACAAAATCAACATACAAAAATCAGGTGTATTTCTATACACTAATAATGGCTAATGTGAAAAGAAAATTAAGAAAACAATCACATTTACTGTGGCATCAAAATGGATAAAATACATAGGAATAAGCTTAACCAAGGAGGTGAAAGACTTGTACACTGAAAACTATAAAACATTGCTAAAAGAAATCAAAGAAGACACAAATAAATGGAGACATCCTGTGCTTATGGTTTGGGAGACTTAATATTGGTAAAATGTGCATATTACATAAAGCGATGTTAAGATTCAATGCAATTCACATAAAAAACCCAATGTCATTTTTTTGCAGAAGTAGAAAAAAAATCCTAAAACTCATACGAAATTTCAAGGTACCCTGAATAGCCAAAATAATCTTGAAAAAGATCAAAGTTGGAGGCCTCACATTTCTTTATTCCAAAACCAGCTACAGTGCAACACCAACTGAGACAGTCTGGTACTGGCATAAAGGCAGATATACAGACCAATGAAACAGAGACTAGAGCCTAGAAATAAACCCTTGCCTATATAGCCAAATAATTTTTGGCAAAGATGTCAAAACTACAAAATAGGGAAAGATAGTCTTTTCAACAAATGGTACTAGGAAACCTGTATATTTACATGCAAAAGAATGAAGTTGGACACTTACCTTATACCATGGACCAAAATTAAAATAGGTTAAAGACCTAAATGTATAAAACTACTAGGGGAAAACATAGGAGAAAAGCTTCAGGACATTGGATTTGGCAACGATTTCTTGATTGTGATACCAAAAACACAGACAATAGAAGCAAAAATAGACAAGTGGGACTATATCAAACTTCAAAACTTATGTGTGTCAAAGGAAACAATCCACAGAGTGAAAAGGCAATCTGTGGAATGGGTGAAAATATTTGCAAATCATATATATGATAAAGGGTTAACATTCAGAATACATAGAGAATTTCTAAAACTCAACAAGAAAACAAATAACCCTATTAAAAATGGGCAAAGGAGTTCAATAGATAGATAGTGCTCCAAAGAAGATATACAAATGGCCAACAAGCATATGAAAAGATACTCAACAGCACTAATCATAAGAGAAATGCAAATCAAAATCACGAGATATCACCTCACACCTATTAGGAAGGCCACTGTCAAAACAAGGAACTAAGTGTTGGGGTGGATGTGGAGAAACTGAAACCCTGCTGCTGGGAATGTAAAATGGTGTAACTCCTATGAAGGGCAGTGTAAAGGTTTCTCAAAAAACTAAACACGGAGCTGCATATGATCCAGCAAACCCATTTCTGGGTATATATCCAAAAGAATTCAAAGCAGGATCTTTAAGAGATGTTCATTAAAACATTATTTACAGTAGCCAAGAGGTAGAAGCAACCCAAATTCCATTAACAGCTGAATGGATAATCGAAATGTGGTTCATACAATACATACAATGGAATATTATGCAAACTTAAAAAAAGAAGAAAATTCGATCACAGTCTACAAGGATGAGCCTGAAGGACGTTATGCTAAGTGAAATAAGCCAGCATAAAAGGACAATTACTGTACGATTCTACTCATATGAAGTATCTAAAGTAGTCAAATCATAGAAACAGAAAGTAGAAATGTGATTGCCAAGTACTGGAGAAAGGAGGGAGGGAGAATTCATGTTTAGTGGGTAAACAGTTTCAGTTTGGCAAGATGAAATAGTTCCAGAGATCTGTTGTACAACAATGTGAATGTAACTTAATGCCGCTGAACTTGAAAATGTTTAAGATGGTAAATTTAATGTTTTTTTTTAACCACAATAAAAAAACCAAACAAATCTGAGCTATTATTAATTTTAGGCTTTTTCCTCCCATGAATATACACTTTCCCCCCAAACTGGACCACACTGTACATGCTGTTTTATAACAGGTTTTGCCCATTGACTACAGAGTGAAAACTTTCCAAGTTTATTCCCTATTCTTCTAGGTCATTTAGAAAGGCTGTTTAGTACTCCAATATGTGAACCTACCACATTAACCAATTTCCTGTTGTTGGACACTGGATTGAATTATTTTACTCGTATGAACAATACTATGTAGCTAAATCATGTTATGCCTTTTAAATAGTTTTAATATCAGCTTCTCTCTCTCCTTCTAGTCAGCTCTCGGCTGTTACACTTCTCCCCTTCTAATCTGTGATCAGATAATCAACCGAGTTAAATCAGTTTACTTGTAATAAAACCTTATATACAATTCTGTCCCTTGCTCTGAGTCCTAGGTAAAAGGGACAGCTGTTGTAGAAGCTGTGAAGGGAGGCTGTTTGTGCTTATTTTGGGTCTACTTTCAGTTCGACCAGCTCTGCTAGAATCGGTTCTTACCTTACTGAATAAATCCAGATGGTGAAAAAAAAAAAAAAAAAATTCCAGATGGTGGCACTTGCTCTTGTGCCTTGCGGTTGCCTTTTCCCTTCCACTCTCTCTCAGGGTCTTGAAACTCAATCTACCTTTATGCCTGGCCACCACCACCTCAGTGTTACCTGCTTCTGATTTTCTGAAGCCCTGCTGCCCCTTAGGGCCTGTCTAGGAGTTCCTGGCCTCCTTGGACTCCTGATACCAGTATGCATGCATACTGCTGACTTCTACTTTGTGGACTTCTTTGCTTCAGTTTCTCACACTTTTAAGGAACTCACAGCACCTATTTGTACTTTTTGACAAGTGCACTATCTGACAACTTTGGATCTCATTTTTTTGTGTGTGTGAGAGCACAGAAAATAGACTTCCAACAATTACAGCTCCCAAATTGCATATTACTAAGTAGCCTAAATGTAGTTGGATAGGCTAGTTTCCCAAACTTGCCTGAAGGATCTCATGGGTCACTTGGTAAAAAAAAACCACATTCCCAGGCCTAGCCCAATGGATATATTATTTAATCAGTACCCCAGGTGATCCTTACAGTCAGGCAGATTTAGAAACACTGGGCCCTTAATCTGCATCCTCAGAGCTTTCAGGACATTGGGAAGTTCAATTGGGACCCAAGGGAGCCTGGTAAGCCTGTAACCAACCTAATGGTAGCACAGGGTTCATTCCATCAGGGTAGGACAACTCTAGGAGTCAACTGTGTTGAAAAAAACATTGGAAAGTCTTTAGAGCTTACGACCAAAGCAGGAACTTAGGGTCTATTTATCACCTCTATACCAAGGATGGTTTCAAACATACACCCCCTTGAGTAGGTTTTATTCTAAATGCTGGGGTTCCACAACTGTTAGTTTGAGTCATACAGTTCTTCAAAACGTGTAACAGAGAACCTGGATCCCATGAGGATTAAACCCTTTGCATATATGCTAAAATCACGTGGAGTGCATATCTTTTAATAGTTTTTATTTTCACTTAAAAAAATGACTTCAATGCCAGATCTGTGTCAGGAAACTGTTCTCGCAGTGCTAGCTGTGTAATTTTTGAGGCTTGAGAAAGGAACACAGAACTCTGACACATATGCTTCAACTCATGACAGGTCTCTGGGTATTTGGATCAACCATATGTAAGATATACAAGATATTACTCCCTCAATCTGAGGACACAGGGAGACCCAAACATGTCTGAGAATTCTAATAGAAACTCTAGAAACAGCTGGTGAATCCTCACCTCTACATAAACTATTTGGGGGAAGCAGGGAGAAGATTACTGAAAATTTTAATTTCCTTGTTGGAAATTTCCAAATTTATTATAATAAACATATTTTATAAAAAAGTGTTTTAAGAAATATACCATAAAGGAATAAGAGCATACCGTAATAATGTAAATGGAGGCGGAAGAAAGCAGCCTAGATTTGTTCAAAAACTTTTTTCCAGTTATAAGTCCCTTCTCTGTTACTTAAAAAAGAAGTCTAGAGAAGATGCATCTTGAATAAAGAGTTATTTGTTAGTTTAAAAAAAATGCTTTTCGGGCTTCCCTGGTGGCACAATGGTTAAGAATCTGCCTGCCAATGCAAGGGACACAGGTTCGAGTCCTGGTCTAGGAGGATCCTGCATGCCGCGGAGCAACTCAGCCCGTGTGCCACAACTACTGAGCCTGAGCTCTAGAGCCCACAAGTCACAACTACTGAGCCCCCATGCCAGAACTACTGAAGCTTGCACGCCTAGATCCCGTGCTCTGCAACAAGAGAAGCCACGGCAATGAGAAGCCCGTGCACCACAACTAAGATCCAACACAGCCAAAAACAAATAAATAAATAAGTAAATAAATTTATATAAAAAAAATGCTTTTCAAAAATGCAGCTAGAAAAACTAGCTTGATCTTAAGTATCATTAAACTTGCCAATAATGTTGCTGTTTATAGTTGAGAAAAGCTTCCTAATCCTTTTTTAATTTTCCTGATTTTCTTTCAATTAGAAAAACAAAGTAATGCATGTACATGGTAAAATATTCAAACAGTTCAAAATGGTATATAAAGTATTTCTCCTAACTCAGACACCAATTCTTTTCCCAGAGGTAATCATTGTTAGCAAGTTTCTTAAATATTCTTCCAGAAATGTTTTATGCAACTACAAAGGATATTTATATACTATTTATTCACAAAAGATCATAATTTCTACTCCTCTTACAATCCATCCACTTGATGGGATAATGTGAGGAAAAAATAGAATTACATAAAAATTAGGCCAAGATAAAAATTAGCCCAGAGTTGTTGAAGAAAACTCAAATGGTCCATGAGAGAGCCAAAACTGAGGAGGAAAAAATATGAGGGGAAAATGCTTCTTAGGTCCTAAAAAGTTTTCACCCTTTAAAAATTGTTATTTCTCTCTTTAAGAGAATCTTCTTTAACATGAAGTTTAAAGTCATGCTACTGATGTTTATTTGGTAAGTAGGCTAAACATTTAAGCATTTTTTCTCTGCTGGTTCTAGAAATTATCTCCTTCCTTTTAAAAAAAATGTTTAAATGTAAAAGTTTAAATGGTAAGAGAGTAAAGTGATGTAGAATAAGAAAAGTACTTTATTCACTGCACCCTGACAGTTTTTTCAGTTCCATTCATAATTATAGCAAAAAAAAAAAAAAAAAAAAATCCGTTGCTGAGTTTTTGTTGTTTTACTTAAATAGTTACACTCAAGAAAATGCTAAATATAAAAACTCCTATTATTGAAAGTTTATACTTCTTATAAATATATATGTATATATATAATATATATGTATGTGTATATATATATCTGCCCTTTTATATGAACCACTCAAAACAATTTTAAAAGCTGTTCTTTTCTGTATTTAAAATTACTCGTTTAAATATTTAGAAGTTCCACAGGAGGTGGCTTTAATGGAATTTTTCCCAGAGTAAATTTCTTGGATTGAAATTGTTCCTGTTCTTCTGCTGTTAGTTGATCCCTGGGTGTGAATAATACATTATCTGTTGTGGTGCTGCCATTTGAGAATGAGAGAGAGGTGGATATGCTGCTGTTTCCAAAGGTGCCACTGGATGACTTGGAAAAAGCAGTGTGAGACTGTGAGCCTGGACTACCAAAACCAGCTGAAGAACTGCCGCTTCCAAAGGCTGGGGCCTCTGGAGCTCCAACAGGTCCTGCTGCCATAGAAGCTGGAAATCCTGAAAATCCGGATGATCCAAAACCAGAAGCTGCAGGGCTTTTAAATGAAAATGAAGCAGCAGATGTGATTTGGGGTTTCCCAAGTCCAAAAGCTGGAGTAGAAGCAGTGATGGCAGAATTGGCGGAGGGTACAGCTCCAAATGCTGGAGTACTCCCAAACACAGAAGGGCTTCCAGAAGGGGCAGTAGCAAATCCAGCGCTTGGTTTAAAACTAAAATTCTGAGCATTAATGCTGCTGTTGTTATTCACTGGAAAACCTACAAAAACCAGAAAAAGAAAAAAAGAAGCTATTAATCAGAAAATGTAGCTATATTACTACTCCCCACCCGCCCTTTTTTTCTTATTTCTGCCATATTTAGATGATAATTAACTTATTGGAAGGAAGAAGAGAAAAATGAAAATGAGAAACTAGGATAAACCCACTAAACCCTGTTGTGCTGTCTTTCTGCTACATCGATCTCATTTGCACCATAATTTACACTCAAGGAGGCAGCTCTTGAGAAACCTCAGGGATTAGGGAGTAAACCTTCACTTCACCTGTCCCCTCATCTCACCGGAACTGTCATTTGAGGACAATACTATGCTGTTATATACAGGGACAACAAAGTCCTCAAAGGTGCTGCTACCCTAACTATGTATTCCTATGGAAGTCTTGAAAAACCATTCCTAAAATATACTTCTAAAGCCTGAGCCATAGGGTCTTTCAAAGACCATGCCCATTCTGAATCCCATTTCGCAAATGCTTGATGAGCCAAATTCTTTGAAGCTCTATTATGGAAGGTGGTAAAATTTGCAAGAGTGACTTAAAATGGCACTAAACAAAACTTCAGGCTTTATATTTGAAACCTATAAAATCCTATTTTTTTGAATCAGTGAAGTCCTTCATTACTTTGTCACTTACCTGGTGACCCAAATGTTACTGATGGCCTACTGCCAAATCCAAATGCAGGTGCTGCTTGATTTACTCCACCCTTTATATCAGAGAGCTATTAAAAAAAAGGTAGGCAAGTGAATAATTCTCAAGTACCTTTTCTATACACTTTATAGCCAAATTCAATTTTTTAAATGTGCACTTAAAAACGTCTTCATTTTGTTTAATATAGAAAAATGCCTACAAGTGAATGTTCATAGGAAAACATGGGCCAACCTCAATGAGTTCGAAGTGATTGTGTGGCTGATGAATTATGAATGATTTTAATTTTACTTATGCTTTTAAAACACTTTCTAAATTTCTTCAATGAACACATATTAAAATCAGGAAAATACTTTTTAATTCTAGATTTTAGTTTCTACTGGTTGATCTGCATTTATCAAAAAACCTAGATATTAGGTAAAGGACCTTTAGAGGCTACTCAGTCCACTTACTCAAATGCTTGAACTGAAGTTAATTCGCAATTACATTATTAAAAGCTTACCACTAAAATCTATTAAACATTTCCTTTTCCCTGAAAATATTTTATGCTCTTGCTATTTTCTGCTCTAGAAATGTCTTTCGTCTCTGCTTACTGAAATCTTAATCTCCTTTTCAAGGCACTGTTCACTTAATCCTTACCTCTAAGAAGTCTTCCCTCATCAACCTAAGTACATAAGATTTCCCTCATTTTAAAACCCTATTGGCATTTTTTCTTTAAAAACAAAATCAACTTTACTGAGGTACGGTTTACATAAAATAAAATGTGTCCATTAAAACAATCTATCTATATTTTGATGAGTTCTGACAAACTTATAACCACCACTACAATCAAGATTTAGAATATTTCCATCACCCATAAAAGTTCCCTTGTGTCCCCTTCCAGTCAACACTCTCCCAAGCTCTGGCCCCAGGGAACCATTCACCTACTTTCTATTACTAGAGATGAGGTTTGTCTTTTCTAGAGTGTCATATAAATGGAATCATATAGTATGTACTTCTTCTTTTTTTCGTCTAGCTTCTCTCCCTCAATCATTAACAGGTATGTGGATAAACAAATTATATCCATATAATAGATTAAAGGAATAAAGAATAAACCACTTGGCAGGGACTTCCCTGGTGGTCCAGTGGTTATGAATCACCTTCCAATGCAGGGGACGTGGGTTTGATCCCTGGTTGGGGAACTAAGATCCCACATGCCGCGAGGCAGCTAACCCTGCACGCCACAACTACTGAGCACGCGGGCAACAACTAGAGAGAAGCCCGCGCCTTGCAATGAAGAGCCTGCACAATGATGAGCCTGGGTGCCGCAGTGGAGGATCCCGCATGCCGCGATGAAGACCCCGCTAACCGCAACTAAGACCCGACACAGCCAAAAATAAAATAAATAAATAAATATAAAAAAAACCCCAATCACTTGGCATGAAGAATTGACACATGGTAAGCCAGTTGTAGGTAGGCTGTCCAAGATTCTCACCTACAGAAGGGCCCCTAGGAAGGTGGCAAAGAACATGGAACTTCCAACCTTGAAGGAAGCTCTGTAGTTCTCTGGACTCAGTTATCCCTTCTACATCAGCAATGGTGATGGCGGGCCATCTCTCATCTAGAGAAAAAATACTTCCGAGGAGTCCTACTGAATTCAAATGGCATTACAACAACTGAAAGGTAGAAGAAATTAGCTACAAGAGTCTAGTCATTTGGGGGGGTGTGAGGAATTGGGACATTGGGGTTGACACATATACACTATTGATACTATGCATAAAATAGACAACTAATGAGAACCTACTGTATAGCACAGAAAACTCTACTTAATGCACTGTGGTGACCTAAATGGTAAGGAAATCCAAAAAACAGGGGATATATGTATATGTACAGCTGATTCATTTTGCTGTACAGTAGAAACTAACATATAACATTGTAAAGCAACTATACTCCAATAAAAATTAATTAAACAAAAATAAAATGCAATGCCCCCCCAAAAAAGACTCTAGTCATTTAGAAGCATATACTTAAGAAAAGAGTAGGGGGACTTCTCTGGTGGTGCAGTGGCTGAGAATCCGCCTGCCAATGCAGGGGACATGGGTTCGACCGCTGGTCCGGGAAGATCCCACATGCCGCAGAGCAACTAAGCCTGTGTGCCACAACTACTAAGCCTGCGCTCTAGAACCCGTGAGCCACAACTACTGAGCCCGCACGCCACAACTACTAAAGCCCACGTGCCTAGAGCCCGTGCTCCACAACAAGAGAAGCCACCGCAATGAGACGTCCGCGCACTGCAACGAAGAGTACCCCCTCTCGCCACAACTAGAGAAAGCCCACGCGCAGCAACAAAGACCCAACACAACCATAAATAAATAAATAAATAAATAAATTAATTAATTTAAAAAAAAAGAAAGGAGTAGGGTGTCGGGACTTTCAAACAGTCATTCACTAACTTTAGACAGCTACTACTCTCATAGCCTTTTTCAGAAAGTACAAAGAAAAACCACCTCGTAGACTGGAAATACCAAATTCTAAATGTAAATATCTTATTTAAAAATAATATTCTTAAGAACTTCTTATGGGGGTAGCAAAATAAACTATTGACAGAGATAATGAATATGCTGCAGTAGGATCATGTATCTTTGGGGACAAGTGGGCATGTATCTCCTAAAGGCATTTCTGTATAAGACAAGGAACATATGGTCCTTCAGTCACAAAAGTATACATTAGTCTAAATATGCATTCATATTTTTCAAAGCAATTTCTTTTTAAACGCTGATAACCTGGCATACTTGAATTTATGTAATATTTTCCAATTTTAAAAACTAGTACCACCAAAGTTAAACATCTTATCCTAAAAATAGTTTTAGAAAAGCATAATTATCTGTGCTTTTCTGACTAAGGAACAGAGAGAAAACAATTCCAGGACCGTGACTCTAAATGATAATACAGTTCTTGAGAATGTGTGTATCACAATTCTTGACAGAGAATTTTAGCTTTGCTTTCCAAATCCAAAGTGAAATTCTGCAAAATAGCAATAGATAAGACGTTTCCCTGTAGAAAATTCTCCAATACTCACCAAAGCTATTGTAGTTGATGTATTTAGACTTTTCAGTTCATTTACCCTGTTCCTCCACTGATTTATTAACTGTTGGATGGAATGTAGCTGGAGAGAAGACAGAAAAATGATGAGTCAATATTGAGTGTTTAAGATAATCTCTCCAATAACTTCATGTTTGTATTTCCAAAGTCACAATAAATTTATAAAACATTTTTACAACCCATAACTTGTAAAATTTGCATTGACCTACCCCTACTTGCTAAAGATACTCCAGCTGTAGACCCCCTTCCCTGTTCTCCAACTCCTTGTATCACCTAGTTAAAATCACAAGTACCTGGCAGTACAGAGACAAACATGTGCACTAGTTGAAACACATGATATTGACTGTAGACAATAGAAAAATACATGATTTATGTCATTTCCTTTAGGCACTGAACTTATTCAAGCCCAGCTTTTCAATTTTTTGATATTTGATATATGAGAATGTTAATCTATATACAACACTGCATTTTATTTAAGTTTGTTTTTCTAGCATTCATTGTGGTGTCTGCACCTAAGACATACTCCATAGATGTTTGCCAAATAATGAAAGGTATGATTTCTGGGACTGATTGCTGGATAACCCGTAATAAAAATAATGACATTCCTAGTTACTACAGTCAAACTATATTATCACCATTTTAGATAACCAACCAATTTCAAAGAAATTCTAAATTTTAATTTAGAATATAAAAATAGCCTTGTTCTGAAAAAAAATTATAGACCTCATCCACTTTGCCAACACACAAGCAAGCCACTACAGAGAAGACAATAATTAACAGCTAATCGGTTAGGTAGATGAATAGGAAACAAACTTACATAACTCTGTAAGTTATTGCTGGTTAAGAAGTTATGGTATTCAAGTCTCAACTCCTCTGGTGAAATATCTGTAAAACCTGAAGTGAGGAATCAATTGGAACCTTTAAATACCAATACTTTTGATAGTAGAGTAAAATAAGAGGTACTAGACAGGAAAATATGCTAATCTTGATCATTAGAAAAATTTCATAATCATAAGGAAAAAATACAAAGCCTATACTCTATTTAATAAAGTATAAAATTAGAATATAGTTGTTATCTGATCTTTGAAGGGGAAAAATTTTCTAAAGATAAATGGAGTGGAAGGAATAATAAACAAAAGAAACAAGAAAGAGTTGACTACATATACATTCATACTTCTAAAAAAAAATATTCTGTAAGTCAGAAACTACAATAGCAAAACTGAAAGGCAAACAGTAAACTGGGAAAACCATAATTGCAACATATATGACAGGAGAAGAGCTAACATCAATGTATAAATAGCTATTACAAATCAGTAAGAAAAATAAGTTAGTATGGGCAAAGATAATGAACGGGCAATTCACAAAACAATTCAAATAGCCAGTAAATAAATGAAATTAAAAAGTTCACGCAAAAAAAAAAAAGTTCAATTTAAAAATACAACTTAAATAGAGATACAATGCTTTATTTACCAGACTGACAAAAATTAATAATGAATAATTGTTATTAAGGATGTGGTGAAATGGACATTCTCCTAAGTTGCCATTATGGAAATCAAAAAGGTAAACTTTTCTGGGAGGAAAATTGTCAATAAATGTCAAATGCCTTAAAAATGCTCATACCTTTTGATCTTAGAATTTCTAGGATTTAACCTCAGGAAATAATTAAATGTATAAACAAAGGGTGTTACATAAAAATATGTTCATTCTAGTATTTTTAGTAATGGAGACACTGAAAACAAAGCAGAATACAACACTAGGTTATGATTCCTAATTATATATATAAATAAGAAATATGTGTGCGCATGTTTTGAAAGAAATACACTAAAATGTTACAGTTGTTATTTCTGAGATTAGTTGATCTTTATTCACATATTTCTGTATTTTCCAAGTTTTCTATGGCAACAGCTGTAACTTTCATAATTAGGAAAACTTTTTAAGAAAGGGAAAAAAAGTTCAGGATATTTTTCTACAGAGAATTATTTATAACCAGACACCATTAACTCCAAAGACCCTTACCTCAGAATAAAGAAAAGACTAAACATTCAAATCAGAATCCCGGAGCTCTCTAACAACTTGTCTTTACCACCTTTATTAACTGCTCAGGCCACAAAACCTAGAATCACTTTGCATTTCTCTCTTTCCCCATATCTAATTAATAAGCCTCTTGCCAGTACTAGCTCCAAAACAGAACACGAATTTTGACCTATTCTGTCTCCACTGCTAGTAACTCTCGGTCATCAGCAGTTGTCTCCTAACTCATTGCCCTGCCGCTATTTTGCCCCCCAACAGACCATTTCTTTTCATACAACAGTCTAAGTGAGCTTTTTAAAAATTAATTAATTAATTAATTTTAATTATTTTTTGCTGCATTGAGTCTTTGCTGCTTGTGCGCGGGCTTTCTCAAGTTGCAGTGAGCAGGGGTTACTCTTTGCTGCTGTGCGCAGGCTTCTCAGTGCGGTGGCTTCTCTTGTTGCGGAGCACGGGCTCTAGGCACACGGGCTTCATTAGCTGTGGCACGTGGGCTCAGCAGTTGTGGCTCGCGGGCTCTAGACCGCTGGCTCAGTAGTTGTGGCACATGGGCTTAGTTGCTCCGCAGCATGTGGGATCTTCCCGGACCAGGGCTCAAACCTATGTCCCCTGTGTTGGCACGTGGAGTCTTAACCACTGTGCCACCAGGGAAGTCCCTAAGTGAGCTTTTTCTAATCAGATCATATCCCTCCTCCTGCTCAAAGCTCTTTCTGGCTTCCTAGTGCAATTAGGCCCAACATAATCTGGCCCCTGGCTGTCTCTCTCTGGCCTTATGTCATATTACTCTTTCTCTTATTTACTCTCCTCTGGCAAATTTAGGCCTTGCTAGACGAAATACAGGGCAACCTTGTTTCCACAAGGGCCTCTGCACTAGCTATTGTACTGTAAGGAACATTTTCCCCCAAATCTTCCCATAAGTGACATCTTCTCATTCAGGACTCAGCTCCAATACTGCTTCCTAAGAATAGATAACCACTCTCTGTGAAGAAACACTATCCCTCTGGCTACTTTCTCCTCCTTCCATCTGTTACTCATCTGAACCATGAAGACAGAAAATGATTTGAGTGACTATTTCCTCAATTCTTTCAAGGGTGGTACAAATGTAGTATCATTCTAGCTGCACAGGAAAAATTAATTCATTATAATGGATGCCTACAGACAGTGATTCTCCAACTTTCTGGTTTCAGGACCCATCTACATTCTTAAAAATAAATAAGAAAAATAAATAAATAAATAAGGATGGCAGACCTTTTGCTCGCATGGGTTACATAAATCAATATTTACCATATCTGAAATGAAAACTGAAAAATTGTAGAAAATATTAATTCACTTAAAAATAAGACATATATCAACATAAATGAAAAAACTATTTTCCAAAACAAAAAATAAAAATTTAGTGATATAAGTGGCATTGTCTTATGTTTGTAAATCTCTTTAATGTTTGGCTTCATAGAAGACTGTTGGATTATTATATCTGCTTCTGCTGTTCAATCTGCTTCAACCTGTTTCAGTATATTGCCTGGTTCAAGTATATGAAGAAAAACTGTTCTCACACAGATGTGTAGCTGGAAAAGGATGGCTTTAATGGCCTTTTCAGATAATTGTGGATATCCTTCTTGATACTATACCAAAACTTGACAGACAGTAGTTTCTTAAAGGTTAGCTATAATGTGGACTCAAATCATATTAATGAAATCATATTAATAAACCAAAACTATTAATTGTTTTATCTTGCACTTAGAAAGGATTTTTCAAACATGCATAATTTTGTAACGTCACACATTGGTCATCTGGAAAATATTGGTTCACTGAGTTATCCAGAACCTCCAAATGTTGGCACATGTCATCTTACAATATCAAAAAATTTGTTAATGTTACTTTGTGTGTGCTTCCCATTTTGTCACACAGAATATTTAAAAGGTGTACACTTAAGGGTCAATATTTAATAAACTTAATAATTTTTACCTCTTCATCAAGGACATTCTTTTTTTTTTTTTAAGCCTAAATCCCCTGTCCCAGTCACGGGCCCAGCCACTCCGCGGCATGTGGGATCCTCCCAGACCAGGGCACGAACCCGTGTCCCCTGCATCGGCAGGCAGACTCCCAACCACTGCACTACCAGGGAAGCCCCCATCAAGGACATTCTTAAGTGAAAATGGCGTTAAAATTTTTTTTATTGACTATTATAATCTGCTAGTACAGTTTGTTGCCTGTGCCTCATCAAAGCTTTTGTAAGAACAGTGCAAATGTCAACACAGTGAAAATGGCAATTAATGTCTTAGTATTATTATGAAAATATTTCTAAACTTGTACAGCCCCTAAAAGGATTTTAGCAATAGGGTTGCCAGATTTAAGCAAAAAAAAAGAGGATGCCCAGTTAAATTTGAATATTTGACAAACAACAAATACTTTGATAAAAGTACAAGTATGTCCCGGGAATTCCCTGGTGATCCAGTGGTTAGGACTTGGCGCTTTCACTGCCGTGGGCCCGGGTTCAATCCCTGGTCTGGGAGCTAAGATCCCACAAGCTGCACGGCGCAGCCAAAAAAAAAGTATAAGTATGTTCTAAATACTATATGGGATATTCATATACTAAAAATACCGTTTATCTGAAATTTAAATTTAACTGGATGTCCCATATTTTATCTTACAACCCTGCTTATGGATCTACATTTCACACTGAGAACCACTGCTCTAGGGCATTAGGCATTATGTTCAATTCTGAACTTTTAAAAAAAGGCTTAACACTTATTTTCTTTACAGAAAAATCACTATCTAAAATTATCTTATTTATTTGTATTACTTATTGCCTCCATCCCTCATGAACATAAACTTCATAAGGGATGGATCCTATCTATCTTACTCATTGCTATATCTCTAGCACCTAGAATGAGGCCTGGCACAAAAGAAATTCAATAAGTATTTGTTGAATGTTAAGTAAATAAACAACTAAGGAGTGGTGTGACACAAATGCTCACAGAGAATGAGCAGGTAGAGCAGAGACAGACAGAAATCCCAGAGTTCTGAGAGACTGAAAGGGCTCTCATCTTCTAGGCACTTGCTGTTCAACTTAATAGGGCCCAGGACCACCCAGAGTAGGCTTATAAAACTGTGGTGGTCTAACGCAAGAGGGAGGGGATATGGGGATATATGTATGCATACAGCTGATTCACTTTGTTATGCAGCAGAAACTAACACACCATTGTAAAGCAATTATACTCCAATAAAGATGTCAACAAAACAAAACAAAACAAAAACAACTGTGGTGGTCTAGCTTTCAGCCCAAAAAGGGCTATGGACAAATGGGAAGGAAAGGAGTATTCTAAAGAAATGCTATCTCTGTAGCCCAGCTAAGGCTCCTTACCTTCAAATATTACCCCCAGGATAGATCTCAACATGCTTTATGAAAAGTAACTATCCTTAGAAAAAAAGATAGGGGAGAAAGAGAACAGAATCAGGCAGCCAAAGCCTTGGCATAACGGGACTCTTCTATTCACTGCAGGCAGCTAAAGGGTTCTGAAGTTGTATCTACAGGAAACCAAGGAAGCAGAGCCTCTTCTTGGGCTTACAGAATTGGAAAGGTGGTGGTTCCTGATTCTACTATTTTTCCCAAGGGATCTATATATCTTGAACTATATCTTCCAACCTCAATCTCTGAATTATGAAGTTCTGCTAGAATACTTGGATACTTTAAACAATGTCCAAACTCTCCTAACTGTAGGAGATTTCTTTATTTGACATAGTCTTGGTTTTAGAAAATAATAGTTGTAAAACACATTTTAAAAACACATAATCTCTAGTTACCTGAAATATTAGGTTTCTTTTTCACTGGTGAATAAACAGAAAACATCCACTGCCCTGATGATTCCCAAACCTCCATATCTTTTACAATTCCTTCCCTGAAAAAAAAAAAGGGCAAAAGATCTTTTTCTACTGATTGTTAAAATTTACCATTTATAATTTTCAATGATTGAAATTTTAAATTGTAGTAAATATATAATTTTAGGTTTTTCCGTTTTATTTTCTGAGGAGTGTTCTTTAAAGCAGAAGCTTATAGAAATATGAGCTACCTTTCATGATTATAAATAATATCAAAGAAGTTCATAATTTTGGTTTTCCAATACACTGAACCATTAACTGATACATTTACTGAGAACTCAACTATCATACCATACATATCTTAAAGAACTGAAATATAATAAAATACACAATACTAAGTTTAATCTTTCTTTGTTCATTATTAACATCAATGATCATTTAACTGGGAAAGAAAGAACCAGTAAGTAATAAAGAACCATAAAATATTTAAGTGGTTAGGACTTCAGAGATCATTTTGTCTAATTCTCACATTTTGCAAAAAGGGAACAGACCCATGTCCATGGTTAACTTGTTGGCAAAGTCATGGATATATCTGGGTCTAAATTAAATATTTTCCCCTTATCCAGAATAGCAGAATTAATCAAATAAGAATAACTGATAATAAAATAATAATAAAATTTAGGATTTTTATGATGACAACATCAAATATAGGAAGGAGGGTTTCTTTTTCCTTTTTTAATTTTTTTAATTTGGTTTTTTACTTTATTTATTTTAATTTATTATATATGGTACATGGTTCAAAATGTTTACAACTAGTCTAATTTAGTTACGGGATGTAAAAGACTAATGAGTATATTTAAGTTCTGTCCTAATTGCTGGGGGCTGACGGAACAGTTATACACAGCCAGGCACTGTTTCGGCACCAATCATAAATTCTACTATGAATATTCTCAATAAATGGTAAGAAATCTACTCCACAATAATGAAGGAAATCAAATGAAATGTTTACATGGGCTTACTGAAGTAAAAGTTTTAGAAAGAAGAATACGAGATGCTATAAGTGACCTCCAAGATCACAAGTTGCTTTAAATCACCTCATACTTTGTAAAGAACTCATAATTTAATATAAGCAGGACTATATTAGAAAGATATTCACAGTACGGTGTTATCAATAGAAAAGTGGAAAAAGCATAATTATCCCCAAGAACTCATTGTATCGATAAAGAAGAATGACATTTTTAAGTGAAATAAAGTCTAGTATGATACCTGCAAAATAGTAGTTATCTCTGATCATGGATGTTTTTTCTGCTTTTTGCTTATTCTGATTTTTTAATAACTTAATAAAGTAATAATAACATTACCTCTTTTTTAAGGAAAGTACTGTAGGTACTTTTGAAAAAAATAAGCAAATGGGAAGGAATTTTTCTGAAGGCTTTCACTTACAGAAGTTTCTTTTCATCTTTCTGCCCATCAGAGCTAGGTGAAGCAAATGGGTTCTGAGACAATCCAAACCCCCTGTTCCTGCTAGCTGACGCTCCAGAATCAAAAGAAGCAAAAGATGGCTTTTCTTGATCTTTGCTGCCCCCCCATGGTGTGGATTTGGAGAAACTGGATGGCTGGATAACACTAGAATATCTCTGGCTGGTGGTATTCCATCCTCGTCTGTTACTACCTGAAATAAACAACAAAATAAACAATTTTACTAGCAACTCATTTTTAGAATCTCTTAAAATTTCATTGTAGTTTGTTTTATTATATGTGCAGACCTTATGTAAAGATTCAACAAGCACTACATTTCCACTCATTTTTTTTTTGCGCTACGCGGGCCTGTCACTGCTGCGGCCTCTCCCGTTGTGGAGCACAGGCTCTGGACGTGCAGGCTCAGCGGCCATGGCTCACGGGCCTAGCCGCTCCGCGGCATATGGGATCTTCCCGGACCGGGGCACGAACCCGTGTCCCCTGCATCGGCAGGCGGATTCTCAACCACTGCGCCACCAGGGAAGCCCTCCACTCATTTTAAATTACAAAACTCTTCACTTTCAATTTATATAGGTAAGTATAGTATCAACAAATCACATAACGGTCTAAGTTAACAAGATTGAGAAGGCTGTAAATCCACAGAAAAATAATGATATATTACTAAATTCAGCTGACCTAAGTTTATTAGGTAAACAACTGTTCGATAATGGAGTGGATAGAAGGCATGTACCGAAATCATAAGCTCCTTCATGATAAAAAGATGTGTCTGTATCATTCTTTGCTCCCCAACTGGGCCCTATATATTAGTAAAATCTGAAAAACAGACAATGTATTGAGAAGTGTATTGAATATAAAAGATTAGAGTCTACCTTCTGTCCTTGAATAGATGGGTTAATCTATTTGACTCAGTATTCTCTCTGAGAAAACAACACCAACCCACCTACCTTCCACAGGGAGATTATAGAGGTAATTTACATATGAATAAAGTGTACTGAGTTCCTCTATTATAAGCAGATTTCTAGTATTCTATAATTATCAAAATGAGCCAACATTTTTATCCTCTCTGTCTCTATATTTTACAAAATTTTTTCACTTCTACTGTCTCAATTATTCATCACTTCTTAGTTGGGGTCAAGATAATTCACCTTGTTTCTGACTGAATTAGGAGATATGCCATTAAATATGTATATTAAAAACTCGAGTGATGGGAGATACACTCCTTTATAAAAATTCACCTCCCAATTCTAAAACTGCTTAACGAAACCTAAGAGGAAAGGGGACAGATTGCTAGACCAGATCCCTCAAGTATGGGTTAATGATATTTTATTTTCCTAGAGTTTCAAATCCTTTGCGGGGATGACACAACTGAAGAAATTCATTCCATCTTTTGTATACAGCTTTTGGTCTTCATACTTACTAATTCCATAAGCATTTATCTGTTTCTGGGCATTAAATACACTGTTTACTTGACTAGTTTTATCTCCACTTTTAAAATCCATTAACATTTATCCATTCAACATTTATTCTCTAATTACTGCATTTAGAGTGAGTCTCAACAGAATGTCATATTACGTTTTGTTGTTCCTGGAAATACTCGCACATTTATCAGATCCTGAGTCTTAATTTTTGGTTTGGAATATTTCACTAGACCAATTGTGGGTGATGCAAAAAGATGGCCCCCAAGAAGAGGAATCAGACGTGAAACCACAATGTAACACAAGGTTTAAGGGTCAGATGAATAGCCCTAAAGGAGGAAAGAGAAGGGAGAGGTGGTCAGCATCTTGCGGTAACTTTAAGGACTAAGTTTCAGTCCTAAGGAAACCTAACGATTCATCTGACCTCTAAAACCTTGCATTGTACTATGATTTCATTTCGGACCCCTCCTCTCCTCGAAGACAGTCAATCCTTTTGCATCATCCACAATTGGTTTAGTGAAATATTCCAAAAGCTTCGACAATGACTTAGGCCAGGAAGCAGGTCAACGTAGTCCTGCACCTCCTTCCCTCATAGCCCAGAGTTCTTAACTGAGCATCCCACTCTCGATTTTACCCCAAATTTTATGAGCATGTGCATTTATCTGAGGTTAATGGCTCTGTAGCTTTTATTAGATCTTGAAAGGAGTTTCCCAAAGTTAAGAATCCTGACTTTGACCCCAGTTGCTAGCCTCTCCCTAGAAAAAAAGTTTAGAAAAAATTATATTCAAGGCATCAAGGGGAAAAAGCAAGTACGCAGAAAGGTAGTAAAGTAGTAAAGAAAGGAGGCGTCTGGGTCGACCTATGCCAATTCTGCGAACCACTGCCGCCCAAAGACAAGGTTAAGTTCTGACACGTATTCCTGTTTTTCATTAGTAAACAGGACCAAGCCCATGCCTCCAACCGCTCAACAAAAGCCAACCGAGCTCCTAATAAATGAATAAAAAAGCCGGTGGGCGGGGCGGGCGAGGGGACGACGCGGGCACGTCCGCGTCACCTGACTGGTGCGCCACGGCGCTGTGCCCAACGGCTGGGCCCACGAGGAACGGCCGTTCGTCGCCGGCTCGGCCCCACGCCAGGCCTTCCCCAGCTCGGCTAGGGGCGAAGGACGGAGGAGAACGTCACCTGAGAGCTGCTGCTGCCGTCCTTCGCCCGCACCCCCGGCGCCGGGATGTTCGTTCCAGCACCGATCTCCGAAGCGACACCGGCCTTGAAGGAAGAACTGACAAATGGTCATGGCGACTGCATCGCGGACGGAACTGTTTTCAGTCGACACCCTCAGCTAGCAGAGCCCAAAACAGCCGGAGGTCGCGGCTCCGCTACTGTGACGTCATCTTCTCGCGCCTGGGAAAGGCCCTTTATCTCTTGTCCCCTCCCCACTGCGAAGAGAGGCGTGGATTTTACCCAATAGGATTTGAGAAGAGTGGGACCGCCCCCCACGCACTGAGCGTGGCCTGGGAAGGCAGGATGATTGAAAGGTTACGTGGAGAAAGGCGTCGAAGACCGTGGTGCAGCGTCTCGTTCATCAGGGGAGGCTTGAGGTACAAAATGAGAGGAAGGAAAGTTGGTCGGACAAACCCATAACTTCAGCAAGGCCCTGAGAGGAGGATCAGCTGTCGTTTGAGAGGCCAAGTCGTATTTTTCATTTGTAACTGCTGAGAAAGTAAAAATCTGCCCAGCCATTCATCAGGATGGGTAACAGTATAAGATAAAGCCAGTTGTAACGTTTACAGGAAAGTTTCTTTTAAGGACAAACTGCAACTAAAAAGTATCATAACAACCCGCGTCTTTGGATACATTCTTACACGGAGAAACCTTGTTCTTTAAAGTCCATGTAAACGTTGCTATTTGAAATTTTATCAGTAAGAATGAAACATTCCACTTTTGCCTGGAGGATCTAAGACACTTTGACACAGAGAAGCAGCTTCTATTTCTAATCAGGTGCAGAGCTGCAGACAAGGGGTTCCTGAAAAGAATATTACTTATTCTCTTAACTTTGTGGTTTCCAAGGGAACATGATCCTACACCCACTTCTCACTCCAGATGTGATGTTGATGCCTCTTTACACCGCTCTGCTTTGCTTTGAGGCTATCAAAACTGTTTCATTTAGATTTTATCTTAACTCCACCTTTCCCACAAATCCTACATCTACCTTTTCCATTGTGTGGTGAGACACCCTACAGTTCCTCTAGTGTGCAGTCTCCTTGGTTGCAATGCGTCAGTAAATCTGACTTTGTTGGCTTACAGGTTCGTCCCCGGTGGTTTAAGATGACTAGCCATTGTTCTTGCTCATATACTTTGTTTGGATTTTGATGACAGCAGAATCTACAGGAGCACTGGGAATAACTGCTGCAGCCTAGTTTATTATTTTTTTAAATCAGTTTAATTCATTTATTTTGAAAAAAATTTATGGAGGAGTTACATGTATATATAGTACAAAGATCTTTTTCCTGAACCATCTGAGACTATATTGCAGACCTCATGCCCCAACACCCAATTATTTATTGTATTTCCTACAGACAAGGACATTCTACTTAACCACAATATATCACCAAAATCAGGACATTAATATTGCTGCATACTATCTAATCCTTAGATTCTATTCATATTTTGCCTAACGTCCGAGTAATGTCCTTTAAAGGACAAGGATGCAGTTCAGAATCATTGTTGCCTTACTCATATTTCTTCAGGCTTCATTCTGGAACATTTTCTCAGTCTCTCCTTGACTTTCATGACCTTGACACAAACATTACAGCTAGTTATTTTGTAGAATTTCCTTAATGCAGACTTATCAGTTTTCTAGTAATTAGATTTAGATTATGCATCTTTGGCATCCATGGTCTTCACGATGTACCTGTCAAGTTGTGCACAATTTCTGTTTGTCACATTGTCATGTTCACTTTGATCACTTCAGGTGTTGTCTGGCAAGCTGCTCCACTGTAAAATTACTCTTTTCCTCTTCGTTAGTAATAAGGATTTTGTAGGGAGAGACTGTGAAAGCATATAAAAACCTCATTCCTCACCAAACTTTTAGTTCACTCATTTATTTATTCCTATCAGTATGACTTATGGTTTCCAATTTTATTCATTGGGTTATAATTTGTTACTATAATTTATTGTGATGCTCAAATCATTTCCAGTTGACACATCCCATGATTCTTTGAGCACTTCACTTCCTGACCTAAAATATGCTCCAGGGTCATCTGACACTTTCCCTGCTTCAGTCCTGGAATCAGCCTGTTCTCCAAGGAGCCCTGAGTCTTTTTTGGTGGCACTCAGAAGCCAAGATCTGAGCTCTAAATTTGCTCATTGCTATTGTGGTATCTTTGTTCCCAAATCCTTTCATGGGCATTGCTAGAGAATACATACTATAGACAGACACATTTACATTAATACATATTCCTATATCTATATGTCTATTAAAAACTATGACTGCACACTGATAACCTCCAATTTCAACCCAAGATCACAGAATTCATTTTTATTTCCCCTTTGTATTTCTTTCATAGTGAGAAACTTGGCTCCCATCATTCTTAACATATCTATTTTGAGCAGTCCCCTTGTAGTAATGAATCTCTCACTGTGTTCACTGACTTTTCATCCATGTAAATGCCAGCATGTGTAAGAACTTTGCTGGCATCAAAGACCTAAAATAATACCAGTTAGGCTGAAGCTTAAACAAGGGTGTGTATGGTGCTCCGTGAAGGTGGAGAGGTGGGCAAAGCCAGAATCCTGACTGAAATCATCTGGATAAAGTGCTGTGTGAGATGATGACAGCCTAGGGCTGAGGCATGTAGAACTCAGTAGTGATAGGGGAGGGGTAGATAGAAATCAGGAGAGTGAGGTCATGGGAAGGAAACGTCTGGTTTCAAGGTGGCAGAGTAAAAATGCCTCTGCCACCCTTTCCTCTTGAAAATATCTCAGAATGAGGGGGAAAACAAGCAAAAACATCATCTTTGATTATACTAGGAGATAACTGTAATTTCAAACCACAATTTATGAAGACTGAATGCACATAGAAGAGTACATAGTAAATTACTTAGAGGAAGAATCACATTCCTGTAAGATGGACAACTGATGTCCCCAGAGAAGCCTGAAAAGCCACAAGAATTAAGAACCACTAGGTACCACAGAACAGTGGACTGTTTGAAAATCTGTATGAGGTTCAGTTAGAAATCCATTAGGTGACTATCCTTACCTGTTGGGAGATAGGTTCTTTTCTTGAAAAAAGGGAACAAGAGAGGCTTTAGGGTCCAGGATGTAAATATAGAGGGTCAAGTTATGGTACTGACAAAAGAGGAACCGAACTCTGCCTGTTGAATGGCGCTTTGCCTGAGCTCCAGAAATCCTGCAGCCAGGCTTATTGTCAGTCTCTTCCCAGCTTGCTCTCCCACACCCAAGGGGCAGGAGTTTGTAAGTTTATATTCTGGAGAATCAAACATCCCAGAAAAAGATCTGTGGATCTCTTACGGATCTCCAACAAAAACAGGCAGCCAGGGGCTTCCCTGGTGGCACAGTGGTTAAGAATCTGCCTGCCAATGCAAGGGACACAGGTTTGAGCCCTGGCCTGGGAAGATCCCACATGCCGCGGAGCAACTAAGCCCGTGCGCCACAACTACTGAGCCTGAGCTCTAGAGCCCGCGAGCCACAACTACTGAGCTCATGTGCCACAACTACTGAAGGCTGCGCGCCTAGAGCCCGTGCTCTGCAACGAGAAGCCACGACAATGAGAAGCCCGTGTACCGCAACGAAGAGTAGTCCCCACTCACCACAACTAGAGACAGCCTGCGCACAGCAACCAAGACCCAACACAGCCATAAATAAATAAATAAATAAATAAATAAATTTATTAAAAAACAGGCAGCCATTTCCTTAACATATGATGAGATTCACTGACAATTCAGCTCATGTTTGTAAACAAAAGTTCACAACTTTTTAATGTCTAATTTTAAATATAAAATGCACAGCCAGGCACCAGATATTTGAGGAAAGACTCCAACAGGAAAGAGCAAAGCAATCTAAAAAGAAGTCAGAGGAAAGAGAAACACACCAAAAATATAAGTAATGTTAAGGAAACTAAAATATCCTCAGACAGGGCAACATGAAACAAGACCAGCATGCTATATAAAAGGACAATCCTAAAAAGAAAATGCTCTTAGAAATTAAACATGGATAGTGGAAACAAATTCAATGGATGGCTGGATGATAAAGTCAGGGAAATCCCCTACAAGAACTGAATAAATTATACTCCAATGAAGATGTTAAAAAAAAAAAAGAACTGAATGAACCAGACCTTGAACCCCATTTTACAGCTTTGTTATCAGAATAGGTTTAAAGCTCTGGAAAGTAAAAAAGCTTTCTAGTTAGTAAGGATGACATTTCAGACAATTTCCCAGTACAGATTTTCTCCTCAAGTAGTTTGAATTACCTTGGGAAGGAGGAAAGTTAGGAAGATGAAAGTAGATTCAAGCTTTTAAAAGTCTTTTGAGGCAACTGTAAGGAGAAAGGGGGTTATTTAAAGGAATGATTTATCAAGTGCTGAATGATGTAACCTGTAAAATATTCTTTCATGTTAACAAATTACGGGGACTTAGTGAGAGCTGTTTTGGTGCCATGTTTGAGTGGATTGAATTTTTGAAGTTGTTGATGTGTGTTAACACTACCACCCTTAAAAAGTTTCTTCAAATATCACCTTCAAATATCTCCTTTACCCTGGCCTCTGCAGCAAATCCAAAATATTTGCCGTTAACAGTGTATGAGGCAAAAGGAAAACAGACTGCTGGTTTTAAAAAATGGCTCTTTTCATGACTCTAAATTTTCCATGACACTATATGTCACATTTTTGAACGCTAGGTCACAATTGTAATTAATGACTGTTTTTGACAGCAACAGTTTTTTTCAAGACATTAAAATTTCATGTTCACACTGTGATTTTCAAAAGTAAAAGCTAAACTGCTATGTCATCAAAGTCATGTCACTGTAAAAAATATAACATTAACAATCACATATCTACTAAAAAGAAAGTAGAGCACTATACAGGATAGGAATTTTGGGTGGGGGAGTAACAGAAAATATACTCGCCAATATATTGTATTTTTACTCATTATCATGATATTGACAATATCATAGACTATTTCCAGGACAGAAAACAGACACTAATTAGAATTACTAAGATTACTAAGGAAAAAAACCACACACACTTCATTATAACCTACATCAAAGCTGTCTACATACTTATCGTAGTGTGCTCTAGTCAGCAGATACAGCCTAAAGAAAAGGGTAGTTATTTAAAATACCTTAAACAGCTGCATATTCCCAGATGGGAAATTATTGTATCAAATTAAGTAATA